ATTCACATTCAGAACTTTGTTTCCTCAGCTTCTCTCACAATTGTGTAAGTTCTAATACTGTAAAAAATGCCTTATTCCATACTATTCTTAGTTTTCTGTTTCCCTAATTGAACCTTATTGATATAATGACTATTTATAGAAAGGATTGTAAGTTACCCTTAGTTATTCTTCAGTGGGAGATCTCAAAAATCCCTCGGTAAAAGATATTCCTTGGACATGGCAAAGAAGGAGAAGATGTGTGTTTATGTTGGAAGGAGAAGCCGGGTAGAGTATAGCATAGCCTACACCAAGGAATGCCAAAGAATCTTAAATATAGCAAGGAAATTAAGAAGGGAATCCAGAAGTCTACCTTCTATATACTTATATTCTCAATGAAGTAAAATTAAAAAGAGAGCTAACTCTCAAGATATGTTCTTCTTTACATGTATTTAAAATTCTTTAATAACAATTCAATCTGTACTCTCTTCTCTGCTTTTAAATAATCATAATCACCATTCTTTTTGTAACTGTCCCCTTCAGGAAGCTGGTCCATCATTATGGACCCTCAAACTTTCCTTTGGCTTTTCTACTCTTAAATTTTCCGTGGTGTTGCCTGGCCTACAGTAATCTCCAATTAGTCATACTTCTATTTTTATTGGCTGTGTTTTTGATCATGTCCAATCCATTTCGGGTCTCCTAAATGGTATAGATAACCCACCAAAAAATTAGATGGAGGGGGCTGAAGGTACTATGTTATTCCGTGATTCTAGCTAAAAATTAATAATAAGGTATAGGTTTGAAAACATATTTCCTCTAACCTCAAAAGATCTAAGCATCAAGTTGTCCTCTATCTTGTACCCACCTGAGTTTAGAGAAACACAATAATTGTAGTCTACAAAGCAGTGCCAGAAAGCTTTTAGAACTCAAGGATCACCCCTAAATTTAAGAATATAGATCCCAATCACCCCTAAGAAAACCCTTCGCATCTAATAGGGAAACCTCAAGATAAAGCATACTATTCTTATTAGTGTAATAGAGATAAATTTATTAATTGTGGGAAAAAGTCCTAATTACTAATTTGTGAATTTCATAGCTTCTCTCTTTTCATTGAACATCCACCTACAATTAATACAAAGGATTCTTTCTTTCTGGCCGCTTGGGGCTATCATTTGGTCTCTAATATTTAAGTATAGGTCTAAAAAATTAAACAAATAAACCAATGAAACAAGAAAGGCTACATGGATCTACCTAATAAAAAACTACAGAAGAAAGAGAAAGTAGAGAGAAAAGGCATATTGGAACACTGTCAGAGAAGTTTGACGGGCAGAGAGCTCAGGGTGGAGAGGAGTTAGAGTTCTGGGAATAGCTATGGTGTTGGAGAAAATTAAGAGGAATGATGATGGGCTGAGAAGGTTTTAAAGATGTGCTGTTTATTAAGAAAGCACTCTTCCCTCTCAGTTTGGCATTTCCAGTCAGAGAGATCTACAATACTTTAAATTACTTTGTGATCACAGAATGTGTATCTCGTCTGGGTCATGTAATACCAGATGACCTAATCCAACCAGAATAGAGGTTATATTCATATATATTAGTTTTCCTTTTGACTTTAGCAGAACTGTTCTTCTTTATGCCTGGCATATTTTTCTGTTACTAGACTTTATACTTTAGTATTTTGCATTCTTCTTCCTTCTTTCTGTGTTTCCTGGTGTACAGTCTTCTCTTGCTCCTGCACCATGGACCAGCACAAAAGGTGTATAAAGGGAGCTGCATCTCTCAGAGTACAGAGCTTCACTTCCCAGAATCCTGATTGATGCATTCTATTTTCAACCCTTACAGTTTAAAAAAGATTTAGCAGTAAAGTGTGGCTTGAAGAGATCTAGGGTCTTTGCAAAATACCATTTACAATATCAAGGATGCAACCTAATATCACCTAATAAACTAAGAAACATGAAGATGTGACTCATTTTGGAGAGAAAAGACAATCAATAGAAATCAATCTGAAGATGCCCCAGATGTTGCAATTAGCAGACAAAGATTTAAAGCAATTACTCTAAACATATTCAAGGATATAAAAGAAAATATGTATATCATAAATGAAATACAGGAAATCTAGCAGAGAAATAGAAACTATAAAAAAGAAACAAATGCAAATTCCAGACAAAACTACACCAACTCAGAATTCCACATCCAGTGAAAATGATCATCCAAAAGTGATGGTGAAATAAAATACATTTGCAGATAAAGAAAAAAATAAGAATATGTTGTCAGTGGACATGCATTGCTGTTGTGGCGCGAATGATTCTGAGATCCACGGAGCCAATTGAGATTAATTATGAGCCTTTATTAGCTGGCCAGCGACTGACTCTCTACCACGCAGGGTTAGAGGAGATCAGCCCCGAGCTTCCTGAGCAGGCTGCTTATAAAGTTTTTTTACTACATCTTTGAATGAACAGATTACAAGAAGCAGAAGTTAGTCGTTAAGTCTTTGTACACAGATAAATGCATTCAGGGGAACTCCCAGCAAACAGAGCCTAATAGACAGTTTTATCATCTTTTCCTTGGCATGTTGCGCTTCTCCCTGGGATATCACCTCCCTGTAACTGAGTTACTGCTCTCCCTAGGGGAAGGCGCCTGGAGATACCTCTTCCCTGAAACTGGAGAATTTCCACTTTTACACTACAACATATAATAAATTTTCCAGGCTAAAGAATGTTTATAATGTTTGTAGTTGTAATGCATTTGATAACTACAGCAAAAAGGATGGGAGGGTGAGTAAAATGGACTCATACTTTGCAAGATTTCTACATTTTTCATGAGATGATTCCATATTAATCCTAAGTAGCCTAAGAGAAGATATCCTTAAGGATATCTATTGTGGACCTTAAATAAACCACTAAAAAAATAATGCAAAGAGATAATGAGGATCCTGGAATACATGATGTTTATACACTTTCTATGTTTTAGCTAAAGATAAAGATAAACTTTCATTTCTTGTTTTTCTTAAAAAATGATGACAAATTATTTTGTACTAATGGCACATTTTGGCAGGAGTGGAGATTAATGATCTTTTTTTCAGCTTCTCTCCTGAACTTTTTCTTTTTCTTCTGTTTCAGAGACAGTATTTTGTTCATTATTGTCTCCTGTGTTCCTGAAAAAAACAATAATGCCTTCTTTCCCTTCAATTAGTCAGCAGTCAAGGAGTGCTTGTTTTCTCTGCAGGGTACTTATTTGTTTCAACTTCATTTCCTGCTCTCTTTCCCCCAAGGTCATTGAATCACACTTTGATAAATACATTGTCATTAAAGTTTACTAGAGGCAATTGCAATGATAGATGTTTTAAATTAATGTCCTTCATTATGAGTCAGAAAGTCAATGAATTAAAAAATAATTCTTTTTGTAGATATTCACCATTATTCAGTCGACATGTTCCTGCTGTGTGTAGTGCTCTTCCAAATTCTAAGACATATGATGATGGCAGTATTTCCTGGAGAAACATGCTATATAAAAGAGAAATAGGATAAACACAAGTATTGCAGAACTGCAACTAAGTAACTGCAAGGTAGGAAGCATGGGGACAAATAAATAAGCCACTGTCCTGACTAAAACAGGAAATCTTTGCAGGGAGCACTGGGGTTTTTGAGAGACCTGGGTTTGTCTTGTGGAAAGCTGACAAAACTTCCTAAATGCAGGATACAAAGTACAAATCAGCTAAAAATATTTATCGAGTGCCCATTGTTTTATATGTTAGTCACTAGAAAAACATGAAATATAGTATTTTTATAAATACGGAAGATCACGTTCTCACAGAAAAAAACACAACATATGTAGTAGTAGATGCTAAATATAAGTACAAATAGATGCCAAGTAATGTAGTGAAAATGAACACCTAATTGCAGAAGTAAGGCTAAGTTAAGCGGAAGGGGCTTTGAAGTGGGGTCAGGGACTAAAGCGACAGAAAGGGAGAATGGTTTATGATATAACTCAGAGATTAAGTCTGGGGACAATGCGAATATGATGGGAATAGGATGATCATGACAAGATAGCGATGAATATATTGCTTCTGGTGAAGATGATTTTAGAAAATTATTGTGTGTGTATATCATATTTTCTTTTTTTAAAATTAAATTTATTGAGATGAATTTGGTTAATAACATTATATAAATTTCAAGTGTAAAATTCTATAATACATCATCTGTATTTTGCATTGTGTGCTCACCATCCATAGTCTAGTCTCCTTCCATCACAATATATTTGACCCCCTTTACCCTCTTCATCCTCCCCTCACCCCTTTCCCCTCTATCACCATACTGTTGTCTATGTCTCTGAATTTGTTGTTTTGCTAGTTCATATGTTGCTTTGTGTTTTATATCTCACATATGAATGAAATCATATAGTTCTTGTCCTTTTCCATCTGACTTATTTCACTTAGCATGATGTTCTCGATGTCCATCCATGTTGTTACAAACGGCAGCATTTCATTACTTTTTATGTCTGGGTAGTAGTCCACTGTATATGTGTACCACATCTTCTTTTTCCAATCATCAGTTGAAGGACACTTGGGTTATTTCCGTGTCTGGGCTATTGTGAATAATGCCACAGTGAACATAGGGGTATATATATCTTTATGCATAAATGTTTTCAAATTTTTGAGGTAGATGTCCCGAAGAGGAATTGCTGGGTCATATGATAGCTCTATTCTTAAGTTTTTGAGGACTCTCCATACTGTTTTTCATAGGGGCTGCACCAATTTACATTCCCACTAGCAGTGTAGGAGGGTTCCCTTTACTCAAATCCTTTCCAATACTTGTTATTTCTCATCTTACTGATAGAAGCCATTCTAACAGGTACGAGGTGGTATCTCATTGTGGCAAAAAGAAGATGCAATGGTGAAACTCAAAAGCACACAATACATTTAAAAATATCCATGATAGATTCATGTTGAAGTTTAGATTTAATAGTTGGTCAAGTTAACCAATCCATCTAATTTAACATTATATCTCAACCAAACCCTGTCCTCCCTAAGTAAATATGTTTTCCAACCTATGCATTATTTTATTAAAATTATCTTAAAGGAACTACCAAGAAAACAAAAATGCAAACAGCTAAATGGGAGAAGATATTTGCAAACGATATCTTCAATAAGGCGCTAATAGTCAAAATATATGAAGAACTCATACAACTCAACACATTTTGGAAGTTTTTCTCTGGCTGTAATAGGGCATGGAAGCTGGCTAGGTAGAGAGAGGAGATAGCTTCGGTATGTAGACCACTGCGGTAATCTTCTCAAGGAGGGAAAGGAATAAAGTGAGAAGGGAGAGAAGGAGACCCTGAGCTGCTGAGATTTCAAGAAACTCGGAGGAGGGAGAGAGAGGGAGGAGCAGTGCGAGGCAGGGGTGCGGGTCTGGGAGGTGGGGGCGCGGGTTTGGGACTCGGACCGTAAGCAAAGTGAGGGCGGGGACTCGGGAGCGCGGCCACCTACTCTCTGCTCCTTCACTGTCCCTAGAAAAGGAGCGCGGCTCGGGCTGCGGAGCTGACTTGGGAGCCCCGCGGCGGCGGCAGCAGAGCCCACAGCGCCTCCCTCGGAGATCCAGAGCCTCCCAGCCAAGCGCGCGGCGCCGCCGAGACCGTTCAGCTAGCTGGGCGAGCTCAGGGAGCCGGGTGTGCGCTCTCAGCGGGTCGCGGAGCGCGCTTCCCGCCTTTCGCCCAACCCGGGCGTGAATTCGTTTGGGCAGCGCATGAGAGCGGGGAGGGCCAAGGGTGGTCCTGAGCCCTCGCTGAGAGCTCTTGTCCCTCCCTGACAGGAGCAGCCCGCAGGAGCAGACCGAGGGAGCGCAGCGAAAGCAGGACACCGCGCCAGGACACGCGCCTCGGCCGCGTACCAAAGGTACTCCATTCCCACGCGCATTCCCTCTTCTGCATCTAGGTGACCCGACTCCGGGAGTGTCACCTGAAAGCCGTGGGGTAAAAAAATTCTCCCATCCTACTCAGTCCCTCCCTTTTAGATCTCCATAAAGTGGCCACTGCCAGTTTGGGGACTCCGCACAATTTTTGAGGTGTGAAACGACCTGAATAACCTAAATTTAAGTTAGTTTCTTTTGATGTGTCCCTTTATCTTAACTTTGGGGGAGGGGGGAGGTAGCGGACGGCGGTATGTGGGAAGGAGGCGAGTCCTCTCTTCCAGACCTGTCTTCACCACTCAATTCCTCCATCCTGGCTGTCAAGCTTGTGTCAGGGACATTTCCAAGGCCAGCCTGGAATAGTAGCTCTGCGGCAATTCAAAGCCAATTTCAGTCCTTAACTTCCACCTATGTACTTTAGACCGATTTACTG